TATTCAGAACAGATGAAGGTAGACGATTAATTAGAAAGCAAGCTGTGGACACTGCATCAGCCCAAAAATGTTTAGGAACATGTATTTGAAATGATAAGGCTCTTGCAATTTCGAGCAAATGTCTATTCTTTCGTTCTGCGACCCCATTTTGGGATGGTGTATCCACACAAGAAGTCTGATGAATAATGTCATTTTGCACCATATATGTGAGGATCTCAAAATTGCATTAATTCTAAAAATTAAAATCAAAATATTATTTAAATGTTGAAATTATTAAATAATATGTATTTATATTTAATAATGTATATTTATATTATTAATGATGTTTTCACTTATATAAATGTTATATTTTAATTTACATGAATTTAAAAAAAAATTTATCTGACGGTTCGTGTTTGGCTAAGCATTAGGGTGAATTTTTGCCTACTGACGCGCAATGTAGCCCTAAGTTGAAATGTAAGATATGTAGAGGTTATAAAATGTACAACTAAGCTGAGGAAATGTTAAATGGGGAATTCCTACCAATAGATAAAATTTTCGCGCTTAAACGCGATTCAAATTCGAAATTGTCACCATTAATGGCATGCCCAAAAAGTCTTCAAGCCTATACCTCTAGCTTACCTTCATTTTCAACCCATCTTATCACCAACTACCAGCCGTTTCTCTTTTCTTCAAGCTCGTTCCTCTGGTGCAAGAAGAAGCAGAGACCGCTGCCATTCCAAGCTTCTAACAGCCTTCCATCCTCAGCCATTCACACCCCAACCTTCAAGCTTCAATTTCCAGCTTCCACCTCCATTCTTGGCTGCTGTCTCGACCAAGCAAGGAGGAGGAAGATCGATGCGGCTGCTGCCGGCGTTGCGTCGGACCAGGAGAGAAGGAGAAACCAGCTGCCATTTTTCTTTCCTCCATCCACAGAACCTTCCAAGCTGATTCAAAAACCCCAGACCCAAGCTTCTCTTCACCTTAACGTTTGCTGCTGGGTTGCTGCTGTGGGTGGTCAGACCGAGAGGGAAACAGAGTGCAAGGGGTGCCGACTGACCTCAGTGATTCTAGGAGCAAACTTGGGGAATTAGGCACTTCATTTAGCTAGTAAACAACCACCAAAGGTAACCCAAAAACTTCCGCTTCACCCCTTAGCCAAAATTTCAGATTTATTGCAGCTTTTGGTTCTTGAAGTTTTAGCTTGTCTTGGTGCAACATGTTGGGTTGCTGATCCTCTAAGCTAATGATTGATGAAGCTAGAGGTGTTTTATGTGCTATATGTATGTTTTGAGGTGGTTAAATGTTGGGAAAATTTTTTTAGAATGAAGCTGGGGTGCTGCCGAGAGAAGGGAAAATTTTCCAGATTTGTACCTGTTGATGTTTTGCAAATTTCGCTTAGTTAATGAACTGGATTGTTTATTTGGGGGCTAGACTAGTTAGTGGTGATTGTTAGGGACTTAAAGTATGAATTATAAGTTGGAAATGGTTGATCAAAAAGAAGAGAAAATTTCTGCTCTGCAACCGAACCAGCAGGCCTGTTTTTCTACCAACTTTGCCCAGCTTTTTGAACTGGATTTTGTGAAGTTATTGAGCTATTTAAATCATGTATATGTTCACCTATATGTGTAGAGTAGTTTTGGTGAAAATGCAGCTTTGGTACAATGGGAAATTTCATTGAAAAATCAAAGAGAAAAATGCCCTTTGAGCTACCCGAAAATTCTGGAAATTTTCCAGATTTTGGTCGAATTTTTGGGAGTTGATTTCGACAAATTTGTGAACTATTTGGGCTGTATACATGTTTACCAATATGTGTAGTATTGTTTGGGGAAAAATGTAGCTTTTGGGTAGTTGAAAAGTTTTGGACAAATTGAAGAGAAAATGGACTTCTTGTACCAAATGCACTTGGAAATTTTTCCAGCTTTGCATGAGACATGTTAATTGATTTTCACGTTAACATGAACCCAATTTGACTTGTGTTTAGTTAAGGGGTGTGTATAGCTCAATTTGGGACAAAAATCTAGTAGAGTTTACGTTCAAAAAGTGGACCAAAATTTTATTCTTCACGACGCTACCCAAAACAGAAATTTTGTTTGAAATTAGAAATGATTTTGACGTTTGGATTTCGTTTTGGTTAAATGTGGATTAAATTGTCCCGAAAATATTTTCTAGCATTAACCTTCGTTACTAGGTCCACTTCGAGTCAATAATCTTGAATTTTATTAGACCAAATGTCCTATTTCGATAAATATGCCAAATTTGGAAATTTTCTTGAAAACTCAAGTTTTTGCCTTCAAGAAAATCCTTGAACCAAGTTGGTCAATGGAATTTGGCAAACATAAGGAGTTTCTATTTTATAGAATTCCAATGGCTAGTTTTACTTGGTTTATATGATTTCCTCTTAAAAGAATTTTCCAAGATATTTTTGGGGAAAATTAGAGGGGAAAAATTCTTCTAAATGGTTAAATGTGATTTTTCTCAACTTGTGACACCAAAGGGGTGTTAATTGCTTATACGACTCTAGAACTTGGTTATTGGAACATTTGACGAATTTAGCAAGTTTTTGGTTTTAAAGAAACCTCAAAATTTAATTTCACTTGAAAATTTGTGGATTTCACTTTGAGAATACGATTAATGCTAGTTTGGGATTTTTGAGTGAAATTAAATGCTAGAAGACTTGAGTAAACTCGCCAACTCAAAAGTAGAAATTTACGTGAATTATTTGTATGTTTTAGGAGTTGGTGAAGGGTACAACCTCGGTCAAAGTTTGGAATTCTAGACACTTCACTTAAGGTGAGTGTCTCTTGCATGAATCGTGTTTAACTGCTAGTTGAACTACTTGTTAAAAGTACTTGCTAGAGATATCATGAAATGTTATATGCTATGTGATTTCGTGAAATATCACAAGTACAAGTGTTGCAATGTTGATTGGAGCGGAGTCTCGTCGACTAAATAAACCAAACGGATGCACGTACCACGCTCTATTAGAGTGGGAGGTACCTCTCTGCCGTCTTGGTAAAAGTGCTTGCACAATTCGTGTTGGAGTCGGGCCCGAAAATAAGGGGAAAGTCGTTGCTAGGAGACGTGTAGATTAGGAAAAATGTCTACATGGAGATTAGGTAGTGAAAGTTGACGGAGTGTCAACTACTATAAATTACCTGATCAAGCGCGAGGACTTTGGCTCCTGAGAGCCCTGTATCCTTTTCTTGTCATGTTACTTCGTTTTTCTAAATTGTTAATTGCTTACTTGTCCATTTGTACTTGTTAAATTGCCCTATGTGAATTGCATGTTTCGAGACACCACTGAACTATTGGCTCATCCCTTCCAATTTGTTTTTCTTGACAGGTTCTGAAATGCATGAAGTCTTGGAGAACTAGAAAAGAAATGTTATATTTTGAATGCCCACTTTTGTAATTGTACTTTGGGAGATACTTTAATATCTTTTGGATGATTTTCTTGTGCCTTTGGGAAAATGTGAATCCTGTGGTGCTTCTGTGCCCTGAGTTAGGAATTTTAAATTGTAAATTAAGTATTTTAAACTCGATGTTTTCGTTGGTACTTGGAATTGTATTTTCGGGTTGTATAAATTGAATTGTATGATTTATTTAAGTACTTAGCTTGCTCAAGGAGTAAGGTTTTATTTTCAATTTATGTTTGGTGATATTAGTTGCTTGAGTGAATGAGTCCTGGCGAGAGCTAGACAGGCGACCCGCCAACCCTTTGGTTCGCCTTAGGGGGAAGTGGGGCCGCCACAGGTGGTATCAGAGCATTAGGTTAGAACGTATTTGGGAGAATTGTTAGGTATTTTATTCCTAGAAATAGGAATGAGATACTTAGATATATTTTAAGTGATAATTGATCAAGTTAATGGTGCTAAGGTTTAACTTTGAAAGTTTTGGCTGTTTTGTAGGTATGGAGAACCCTAATGGGAACGGACATGATGCTAATGGTAACGGGCACGTGAATGGTCACGTGCCGCCTCTTAGGCCTATATTTTACCAAGTTCAGGGTGGTGGAGCTCGTGGTCAGTACTCGCCCCACACCAGGGTTCCTAGGTGTGACTGTAGATTGACCTTCTCTTACCCCAACCGCTTGGTTCTGGCTATAGACGATGAACGTCGCCAGTTGGTGAATTCCAACATAGCCCTGATTCAGGACGTGGACGAGTTGGGTGCCATGGTGGCTAATCTACATAATAGGGTAGCAGAGCTGACTGGAAGGGTGATAGAGGAGAGAGCTAGGGCTGAGGCAGACCGTGAGGAGTTGCAGAGAGCAAGGGATAGCGTGGCTAGGATGAGAGACATGGTTCGTGAGCGAGCTTTTGGGATACTAGCGGATGCTACCATGCTGGTGGATGAGGTGATGGACGAGGCCTCAGAGGTAGCTCCTACTGCTGAGGAGGATCCAGAGGAGGACCCGGAGGAGGATCCAGAGGAGGACCCGGAGGAGGATCCAGAAGAGGATCCTGATGAGGGGAATCCATCTGATGGTCCCGCTGAGGACTAGGCTTAGTTAGACTCTCTTTTGACTTGTAATTTGTAAACATTGGTTGGGATGGTGCTAACTCTTGGGCCATTGTATTTTTGTAACTGTATGGCTTGCTTTTGTGGTGATTGCACTTTATTTGATTATGAATGACTGGTTGCACCTTGTAGCACCTTTGTGCTATATTTTTGTAAAATCCCAACGAAATGCTAATTGTAGGAATTTCGAATGTTAATATATGTGTTAGTTGTGATTATTTTTATCGCCCTCAAGTTGATCTTCATTTGGCATAATTTTCTGCTTTGTTCCTCAGTTTTATGCAATTTTCCTGCGTTGCTCTTTAAACTTTGTGTAAATTTCTGTATACTTACTTCTTGTTTTGCATTAGGCATAACTAGGTATGGATCCCCGTGGTAGAGGTCAACGCCGAAGTCGAGGTCGAGGGAGACGGACTGAACCCCTTCGTGATCAAGGGGGCGATAGAGCGTCGGAAGTGAACTAAAATCGGGGACCCGAGGGCGGGGGCGGAGATCAAATGGCCACCGCTATTAATAGGATAACCGAAGTGCTAAAACGTTTGACGGACCGTCAAGGTCCTGGACCAGTGCATCAACAACCTGGTGGGCAGTTAGATACTGAAGATAGGGCCTTGGAGAGGTTCCTAAAGTTTGGGCCGCCTAAGTTTCAAGGTGGGCCAGAGCCTGAAATAGCTGAGGGATGGTGGGAGAGAATATCTGATATTTTTGCCACATTGGATTACACTGAGACGCGGAAAGTGACTTTTGCGTCATTTCAATTTGAAGGAGCTGCACGGTCTTGGTGGAATCTAATTAAGGATAAGTGGGATAGAGACCGTACCCCTAGTACTTGGGCAAACTTCACCCGTGAGTTTAATGCCAAATTTCTTCCACCTCTAGTCCAAGAGAAAAGGGAGGATGACTTTATTAAGTGCAAACAAGGGGCCATGAGTGCAGCAGAGTATGAAACCAACTTTACTAAATTAGCCCGATATGCCCCTGACCTGATAGCCACTGAGCAGAGACGCATTAGAAGATTTGTGAAAGGGCTCAATGTGGAGATTCAAGAGGGGCTAGCAACTGCTCAAATTAACACGTATAGTGATGCCGTAGAGAAAGCTTAGAGGTTTGAGACGGCTAGAGCCCAATCTAGGTCATTCTTTGCTAGGAAAAGGAATGCCCCTAGTGGTAGCAGGGACCCAATTTCTACAAGTGCCCCATCGCCTAAGATGGGTAGAGGAACTGGAGTAGTGAATATCCCTAGTGCATCGAGAGGTGCTTTAGTAAGGCGTGCTGGAGCTAGAGGCCCTGGGGCGAGAGGATCTGGAGTGAGAGGAGGTCAAAGTGGAAGGGGACCCCCTAGGAGTGCTCCACAAGGTGTACAAGTGTCAACCCCTCAGATAACCTGTGGTTATTGTGGAAAAGCCAATCATACTACAAATGAGTGTTGGAGAAAGGATGGCAAGTGCCTCAAGTGTGAAAGTGCTGAGCACCAAATTGCTAATTGTCCTAAGATTTCCGAGAATGGGGGAAGCCAAGGAGGTGCCACAAGTTCTAGGCAAACTGCTTCTGGAGGGAGTCGGCCGAAGGTCTCGGCCAGGGTTTATGCCCTAGATAGTCAACCTGCACCTGACCCTTCGGAGGTAGTCGAAGGTACACTTCCAATCTTTCATCGATTAGCTAAGGTTTTAATTGATCCCGGTGCGACTCATTCGTTTGTTAATCCTGCTTTTATGTATGGAATTGATGTAAAACCTGTACGATTACCCTATGATTTGGAAGTTAGGACTCCTACGGGTAATAAGAGCATGCTCACTAGTTTAGTGTATAAGGAGTGTGAATTTTGGGTTGGGGAGCGAAAAATGCTAGTTGACTTGGTGAGTTTGGACCTTAAGGGGTATGATGTGATTATAGGAATGGACTTTTTGTCTTACCACCATGCTAAGCTAGATTGTACAGCTAAAGTGGTGGAATTTTGCATCCCAGGTGAGGCAACTCTCAAGCTAGATGTAAGGGGTAGATTAGTTTCGTCTGCTTTGATTTCAGGGATTCGAGTTAGGAAAATGCTTCACAAGGGAGCCCAGGGTTTCTTAGTTTTCTTAATTAACGCCCCTAGTGACCAAGTGAAATTAGAAGATGTGCCAATCGTGCGAGATTTTTCCGATGTCTTCCCGGAAGAATTAACATCTTTGCCACCTGAAAGGGAGATAGAGTTTAAGATTGACTTGGTTCCAGGAGTAGCCCCAATTTCAAAGACTCCTTATAGAATGGCTCCTGCGGAGTTGAAAGAACTAAAGATCCAGTTGCAGGACCTACTAGAAAGAGGTTTTATTAAGGAAAGTGACTCACCATGGGGAGAGCACCAGTTTTGTTTGTAAAGAAAAAGGACGGGAGTTTGAGATTGTGCATTGACTATCGAGGTTTGAATGAGGTGACTATTAAGAATAAGTATCCGTTGCCCTTGATTGATGGATTATTTGACCAATTGCAAGGATCGGTGGTGTACTCTAAGTTAGATTTGAGACAAGGGTACTATCAATTGAGGATTAAAAAGGAAGACATACCTAAGACTGCTTTTAATTTTAGATATGGGCACTTTGAGTTTGCGGTAATGCCTTTTGGGTTAACCAATGCCCCAACTGCTTTCATGGATTAATATAGAGAATCTTTAAGAAATATCTGGACCAATTTGTGGTGATATTCATAGATGATATTCTAGTATATTCTAAGACCCGAGAGGATCACGCCAAACACTTGGAGATAGTTTTACAAGTGTTGAGGGAACACAAGCTTTACGCTAAGTTCAATAAATGTGAATTTTGGCTGGAAGAAATTTCTTTTCTGGGTCATAGAATTTCTAAGAATGGAATTGCAGTGGATCCAACTAAAGTGGAGGCAGTTACTTTGTGGAAACAACCAGAGAATCCAACTGAAGTTAGAAGTTTCTTGGGATTGGCGGGTTATTACCGTCGTTTTATAAAAGATTTCTCAAAAATTGCTGGGCCAATGACGGAGTTAACTAAGAAAAACCATAAGTTCATTTGGAGCCCTAAATGTGAAGCGAGCTTTCAAGAATTGAAGAGGCGATTGACTACGGCTCCAGTGTTAGCCCTACCTGAGGGAGTTAATGGGTATGTAGTATATTCCGATGCTTCTAAAGAAGGGTTAGGCTGTGTTTTAATGCAAAAGGGAAAAGTTGTGGCCTATGCTTCTAGGAAATTGAAACCCCATGAGATGAATTATCCGACCTATGATCTAGAGTTAGCCGCTGTTATTTTTGCTTTGAAGAAGTGGAGACATTACTTGTATGGGGTGACATTTGAGGTATTCACCGACCATAAGAGCCTTAAGTACTTGTTTTCACAAAAGGAATTGAACTTGCGACAGAGGCGTTGGGTAGAATTTCTTGAGGATTATGATTGTTCAATCAATTATCACCCTGGGAAAGCAAATGTGGTTGCAGATGCACTAAGTAGAAGGACTCAAGTAGCGGGTCTAATGGTGAGAGAATGGGATATGTTAGAAGAAGCGAGTGGTTGGAATCCTCGTTTAGAAAAGTTAAAAATCTTGTTTGAAAATCTATCCTTAAAATCCCCTTTGTTAGAAAGAATTAAGGAGGCTCAAGGGAAGGATCCGGTAGTACAAGGTTATTTGGAGAAAGTGAGAAGGAGGGAAACCCTAGATTTTAAGCTAGGACCTGAAGGCATTTTGAGATTTAGGGATCGAATAGTAGTACCTAGTAAAGAAAGTTTGAAAAGAGAAATTCTAGAGGAGTCACATCGGTCCAAGTATACTATTCACCCTGGAGTTAACAAGATGTATCAGGATGTGAAAGGGTTTTATTGGTGGGATGGCTTAAAAAGAGATGTGGCGAAATTTGTACAGACTTGCCTAGTATGTCAGCAGGTTAAGGCAGAACATCAAAAGCCTTCTGGTTTGTTACAACCTTTAGAAATCCCTGAGTGGAAATGGGAGCATATTACCATGAATTTTGTGACAGGTTTACCTAGAAGTCAAAGGGGACATGATGCGGTTTGGGTGATAGTGGATAGGCTTACTAAATCTGCACATTTCTTACCGGTGAATATGAGTTACTCTTTGGAGAAATTAGCCAAGTTGTACACAGAAGAAATTATGAGATTGCATGGGATTCCTGTAAGTATAGTCTCCGATCGAGACCCTAGATTCGTTTCCCGCTTTTGGCAGAAATTTCAGGAAACTTTGGGAACTAAGTTGAAGTTGAGCACTGCGTATCATCCACAAACAGATGGACAGTCGGAGAGGACCATACAAACCCTAGTGGACATGTTAAGATCCTGTATATTAGATTTCGGAGGGAGTTGGAGCCAGTACATGACGTTGGCAGAGTTTGTTTATAATAACAGTTATCAGGCTTCAATCCAAATGGCACCGTATGAGGCGCTTTATGGTAGAAGGTGTCGATCCCCTATTCATTGGGATGAAATAGGAGAGAAGAAAGTTTTAGACCCGACAGCTATTCCATGGATCAAAGAAGCTTATGAGAAGGTTAAGCTGGTTAGGAAGAGACTTCAAACCGCTCAAAGTCGGCAGAAGAGTTACACAGATCACCGAAGAAAAGACTTGGAATTTGACGTAGGGGATAAAGTCTTTCTAAGAGTAAAACCTATGAAAGGAAGGGTAGTATCCAAGAAGGGAAAGAAATTAAAGCCGAGGTACATTGGACCTTTTGTAATTCTTAAACGAGTTGGAAAAGTGGCTTATCAGCTGGATTTACCTCCTAGTATGAGCAGGATTCATAATGTCTTCCATGTATCTATACTCAAGAAATATCATCCCGACCCAAGTCATGTGATTCAATTAGATAACGTTGAAGTAGACGAGTCTTTGACTTATGAGGAGCGACCAGTTAAGATTTTGGACCGAGAAATCAAAGAAGTGGGGACATCATAAGCCCTGACGAGAGTTGTGCAGGCGTCCCGCGGATACCCTCTGATTCGCCTTAGAGAGAAGTGGGGACATCATAAGCCCTGCTGTATTTTCTCACGAACAAAATGACAATCTATTTCGATGTGTTTTGTTCGCTCATGAAATACGGGATTGGATGCAATATGAAGAGCCGCTTGGTTATCACACCACAATTTTGCAGGCATTGAGGTTTTGAGACCTACTTCATTTAGAAGTTGATTTATCCACATGATTTCACATATCGATTGTGCCATAGCTCTATATTCTGACTCTGCACTCGATCGCGAGACAACATTATGCTTCTTACTCTTCCATGAGACCAGTTTTCCTCCAACAAAGACACAAAATTCAGTTGTGGATCTTCGATCTGCCTTGGATCCTGCCCAATCAGCATCTGAAAAACACTCAATCTTAGTATGATCATGATTTTTATACAGAATACCACGTCCAGGAGCTCCTTTTAAATAACACAAAATTTGTTCTACAGCTGCCCAATGATTAACAGTAGGATTAGACATATATTGACTAACAATACTAACTGAATACGCGATATCTGGACGAGTCACTGTAAGATAATTCAACTTTCCAACCAATCTTCTATATCTCGTAGGATCTTCTAACAATTCACCTTCTTTTGTGAGCTGCAAGTTAGGAATCATTGGGGTACTAGCTAGTTTAGCCCCCAATTTTTCCGTTTCAAATAGTAAGTCAAGAACATATTTTCTTTGTGACAGGAATATCCCATTCCTACTCTTTGCTACCTTAATACCCAAAAAATACTTTAACAGTCCCAAATCCTTTGTCTGAAATTGACTATGGAGAAAAGTTTTAAGAGATGAAATACCTGCAGTATCATTTCCAATGATAACAATATCATCCACATATACTACCAACAAAATAATACCAGTTTCAGACTGTTTGTAGAAAACAGAATGATCAGATTTGCTTTTCTGCATCCCAAACCTTTCAACTGCTAGACTAAATTTTCCAAACCAAACATGAGGACTTTGTTTTAGTCCATACAAGGACTTTCGAATATGACAAACCTTCCCAAACTCCCCCTGAGCAACAAACCCTGGTGGTTGCTCCATATAAACTTCCTCTTGGAGGTCTCCATGAAGAAAGACATTTTTTATATCTAGTTGATGCAAAGGCCAATTATGAGTGGCTGCTGTAG